AATCTAAAATCACAAAATGGTGAATTTTTTAACATGTCATGACTGAAAAATTTTTTTCCTGGAAACTTTTGGAAATTAAGGAATGAAATTTTTTGAGGTTATAGTTAAAGAAATTGCCATTATTTTGTTACAAACCCTACATTTCTAGGATGTATCATTTCTTAGTTAAGAATTCTTAAATCTGTTATAACCTAAAATTGTAAATTTTTGACATGTCATTATTAAAAAATTTTTTTCGTGGAAACTATTGGAAATTAAGGAATGGAATTTTTCGAGGTTATAGTTGAGGAAATTGTCTTTATTTTGTTACAAACCCGACATTTCTAGAATGTTTCATTGTTTACTTAAGAATTCTTAAATTTACTATAACCTAAAATCACAAAATGGTACATTTTTTGACATGTCATTATTAAAGATTTTTTCGTGGAAAGTATCGGAAATTAAGGCATGAAATTTTTTGGGGTTATACCGACATTTCTAGGATGTTTCATTTCTTAGTTAATAATTCTTAAATCTACTATAATCTAAAATCCCAAGTTTGCAATTTGTTTGACATGTCATTATTAAAAAATGTTTTCCCTGGAAACTATTGGAAATTAAAGAATGAAATTTGTTGAGGTTATAGTTGAGGAAATTGTCTTTATTTTGTTACAAACCCGACATTTCTAGGATGTTTCATTTTTTAGTAAAGTATTCTTAAATCTACTATAACCTAAAATCGCAAAATGGCAATTTTTTTGACATGTCATTATGAAAGAATTTTTTTCTGTGGAAAGTATTAAAAATTAAGGAATGAATTTTTTTGAACTTATAGTTGAGGAAATTGTCTTTATTTTGTTATAAACCCGACATTTCTAGGATGTTTAATTTCTAAGTTAAGAATTCTTAAATGTACTATAACCTAAAATCACAAAATGAAAAATTTTTTGACGTGTCATTATTAAAGAATTTTTTTTTGTGGAAAATNAGTTGAAGAAATTGTCTTTATTTTGTTACAAACCCGACATTTCTAGGATGTTTCATTTCTTAGTTAAGAACTCTTAAATCTACTATAACTTAAAATCACAAAATGGTAAATTTTTTGACATGTGATGATTAAAAAAATTTTTTCCTGGAAACTATTGGAAGTTAAGGGATGAAATTTATTGAGGTTATAATTGAAGAAGTTTCCTTTATTTTGTTACAAACCCGACATTTCTAGGACCTTTCATTTCTTAGTTATGAATAATTAAATCTGCTTAATTAAGGAATGAAAGTTTTTGAGGTTATAGTTGAGGAAATTGTCTTTATTTTGTTACAAACCCGACATTTCTAGAATGTTTCATTTCTTAGTTAAGAATTCTTAAATCTACTGTAACCTAAAATCACAAAATGGTACATTTTTTGACATGTCATTATTAAAGATTTTTTTTGTGGAAAGTATCGGAAATGAAGAAATGAAATTTCTTGGGGTTATAATTGAAGAAATTGTCTTTATTTTGTTACCAACCCGACCTTTCTAGAATATTTCATTTCTTAGTTAATAATTCTTAACTCTACTATAACCTAAAATCGCAAAATGGCAATTTTTTTGACATGTCATTATGAAACAATTTTTTCTGTGGAAAGTATTAAAAATTAAGGAATGAATTTTTTTGAACTTATAGTTGAGGAAATTGTCTTTATTTTGTTATAAACCCGACATTTCTAGTATGTTTCATTTCTAAGTTAAGAATTCTTAAATGTACTATAACCTAAAATCACAAAATGACAAATTTTTTGACGTGTCATTATTAAAGAATTTTTTTTGTGGAAAGTGTTGCAAATTAATTAATGAAACTTTTTGAGGTTATAGTTGAAGAAATTGCTTTTATTTTATTATAAACTCGACATTTCTAGGATACCTTATTTCTTAGTTAAGAATTCTTAAATCTGCTATAACCTAAAATCGCAAAATGGTAAATTTTTTGACATGTCATTATTAAAAAACTTTTTTCCTGGAAGCTCTTGGAAATTAAGTAGTGATTTTTTTTGAAGTTATAGTTGAGGAAGTTGCCTTTATTTTGTTACAAACCCGACATTTCTAGAATATTTCATTTCTTAGTTAAGAATTTTTAAATCTACTATAACCTAAAATCACAAAATGGTAAATTTTTTGACATATCATTATTAAGAAATTTTTTTCGTGGAAACTATTGGAAATAAAGGAATGAAATTTTTTAATGTTATAATAGAAGAAATTGTCTTTATTTTGTTACAAACCCGAAGTTTCTACAATGTTTCATTTCTAAGTAAAGAAATTTTAAACCTAACTAAAATCACAAAATTATGTTTTCTGATACGTCATTATTAAATCGAATATTATCTTGGAAACTGTTGGAATTTAAGGAATGATTTTATTAAGGAATGATTATTGAAGTCTCTACCAAAAGCACATGTGCCCCATCTGGCTGTTTAACGGTATGCAAAGTTGTTTTGGGTATACAAAAGATGTAAAACAAGTTAATATATAAAAGTGTATATGGCATGGAGAAACCTCACTCCAGAATAAAATTCAAGTAATTATAACAATAAAAACATTAAAAAATTATCATAGTTTCTTGAACATAAACTCAATATTATACTCTTCATTTGATACAACAACTTGATCATCAAAAAAGAAATGGCTTGTCAGGTTTTAATCTTCCATCTCTTTTAATCGCTGTTAAGCGCTTCTTGAATGTATGGAGTCAGATATCGAGCTTCCCACCGTAATGAACTCCTGGGGTCCCGATACATATTCCAAATATACACCCTGTTAACGCCAGTCTTTGTGGAGATCTCAAAAAACTTTTTCAAAACAATGAAGTTGTTTCGACACACACCTATCAATTTTTCCCATTTCGAGATGTCGTTAAAACACTTTCAATAAATATCTAAATGTTTTTTTTTATTTTATCGTTTTTCTTATGAATTATCAAGATATTTCAACCCAATCAGAACTATTTTAAAGTTTTCAAAATTTTGAATCTTCTGGACTTCCTTGTCAAGTATAGAAAAGCTGTTTCCAGTCAATTAGATATATTTTGGCACACACCAATAAAGTTTTTCATTATTGATCTTTGAAACCCTTTCAATAAACGTCAAAATGTTTTTTTTTAATTTCTATCACTTTCCTTATGTGTTATCAACACATTTCACGTCGATTAGAACCATTTTGACTCCCACCAATCGCCTATTTATATATTTTCGATGTTTTGACACTTTTGAAGGAGAAGCTTTTTAATTTTTTTAATCTATTTCCTCCTTGCTAAGTACATTGTATCTATTTCCAACCAACTGAATGCATTTTGACACACACCAATACTTTTTTCCATTTTTTGCAATCTTTGAAACACTTTCAATAAATGTCTAAACGATTTTTATTTAACTTTTTCGTTATCTTTATGTATTTTCAACATATTTCAAGTTGATTAGAAGCATTTTAACTGTCACCAATCACGTATTTCCATTTTCTCAAAGTTTTGACACTCCTGAGGAGATACCTTTTAGTTTTTTTAATCTACTTTTTCCTTGTTAAGTCAGTTTAGTTTGGATTACGACTATTTTGGCACACGTTTCATGTATCACAATTATAATATAATAAGTAATAAGCAAATAATTTTGATTCCTTGAAAAATGTCATTGGGAGATTTTAAAACGAAGTGTAATGAAATATATAGTTTATATCAGTGGTGTCCATAACGTCGATCGCAAAGCAGTTTTGTCAATCGCCAAGAAAATCATGAATCTGAAATATAAAAAGTCGATTTTGATCAAAAATTAGTGGACACTATTGCTCTAAATCGATTAAACGTTAAAATTGTCGATTTTCGAAAATTAACTCAATCATAACTGATAAACTAAAAGCGATGGGGAAATATTTTTTATACATAAAACCTTAGTAATGGACCATAAAGACTAGATCCATAAAAAGATTGAACCCAATTATTACCATTTCTTATTTATAAGCTCTAAACCGATTAAACATCAAAATTGTTGATTTTCGAAAATTAACTCAATCGTAACTCAAAAACTAAAAAGCGATGGAGAAAAACTTTTTATACATAAAACCTTAGTAATGGGCGATAAAGACTAGATCCATAATAAGATTGAACCCAATTATTACCATTTTTTATTTATAAGCTCTAAATCAGTGGTGACCATAACGTCGATTGCCAAAAAAATCATCAACCTGAAATATCTACATATATCTGGGCCTTAGAGCAAACAAAAGGAAGGTTACTTTAAACCCTTCGGTCGATCTTGGCAAGACATTTATATAAAAAGTCGATGTTGATCAAAAATTAGTGGATAACACTGGTTTATATGGATTGCGAATGTCCACGACAAAATGAAAATTCTTATAAATAACTTGTAATTAAGCCAATGCTTTTATTTGAACAAATTTAATTAAAAAATCTGTTTATCTACTTTTCGAATACACATTATGCTAAAAGTCCCAAAATCGCATTAAACGAACTAAAACTCCATTTAGTTTCGTCCGGTTGAATTGCGGAGAAGTGGGAAGAGTCGAGCTTGGCCATTGAGCTTTTCTGAAATTCGCCAAAGTTAACTCACCCAACACAACTGAAAACTTTTTGACGTCCCGTGAGCTTTTTCGCGCTCGGACTACTTGTTGAACAGACTAAAAGCGTTAATGGCATTATTTACGATTCGAAACAAGTCTCTAAATCTCCTTACAAAATTTTAAATTCAAAAACTTCTTTTTCCCCTCGAGATAATTTCTTCCCATTAAACTCTCTTTAAATCTATTTTAATGAGTACTCCATAATGAATATATTTTAATCTTTAATTATTAATTAATTAATTAATTAATTATTGTTTGTTGTATTAAATTAATTTTTCTTATTTTTCGTTAATTAATTTATTTCTTTTATTACGATATTAACGTATCATATTTATTTATTGGGGGGATGTTGAATTTTTAATAAAACAATTTTAATTTTGTTTCTAATCAATTCTTTTTCGTTTTATTTCAGTGAGGCTGCACGATAGTATACAAGAAGAAAATTACCATTATCTAGTCTTTGATCTGTAAGTTTTTAATAAAAATTTAAAACAAATTATTTTATTTTGTTGTATTTAGAGTTACTGGCGGGGAATTATTCGAAGATATCGTCGCCAGAGAATTTTATTCTGAAGCTGATGCATCACATTGCATACAACAGATCTTAGAATCAGTTAATCACTGTCATCAGAACGGTGTAGTTCATAGAGATCTCAAGGTAACAAAAATTGTTAAATTATTAAATTAATTATTAAATTCTCTTTTTTTAGCCTGAAAATTTATTATTAGCTAGTAAGGCAAAAGGAGCTGCGGTAAAACTAGCGGATTTCGGTTTAGCAATTGAAGTACAGGGTGAACAACAGGCATGGTTCGGATTTGCGGGAACCCCCGGTTATTTATCACCGGAAGTTCTCAAAAAGGAACCTTACGGAAAACCAGTCGATATTTGGGCTTGCGGAGTCATCCTTTATATCCTTCTCGTGGGTTACCCACCGTTTTGGGACGAAGACCAACACAGATTGTACGCCCAAATCAAAGCCGGCGCTTACGAGGTAACACTTTTCTATTTATTTCTATTTCCTCAACCAACTTTCAATCAGCTAAGTGAACTTTATAAAGTATCGATAATTTAAAATTCGACGCTTTGTATATTTAATACCTCGTTAAAAGTTAGCTGAAAGTTCCGTGAAACATTGGATATTTGATCGTTATAAAGTTTGATTGTTTTATCTTGTTTTGATTGTTTTATTGCAGTATCCGAGTCCCGAGTGGGATACAGTTACTCCGGAAGCGAAGAATTTGATTAATCAAATGTTATCGGTTAATCCTAGCAAAAGGATAACGGCTGCGGAAGCTTTAAAACATCCCTGGATTTGCGTAAGCTTCATGGATTTCATATTGTATTTTCAATTTTAATTAATTCTCTTTTATAAATTGCAGCAGAGGGAACGTGTTGCTTCAGTTGTACACCGACAAGAAACGGTGGATTGTCTCAAGAAGTTTAATGCACGTCGCAAACTTAAGGTAAATAATCATTAATATTCAATAAGTAAAAAGAGAAAACATAATTAGATAAAATCATCTCAACTTATTTTTTACGAATTATTTTTGTGCGTATCATTTTTTCCGACGATTAAAGTTTTTTAGTCATAATTTATGTTAATGCAAAAGTGTGGAAGAATTATTTGGCAAATTAAATACTCAATAAAGTTACAATAACTATCAAAGAGTAAGGAAGAATACAAAAAAAAACTGCTGCCAAAAACGAATTATAGAAAAAATTAAGAAAGAGTTGCGCAATAAACCAGAAACTATTCTATAAAGGCCCGTACAGACACGTTTAGTAATTTAGTCAAGTAGCCACTTACCACTGGAACGTTTAGTAGATGGCAACTGTCCACATTTAATACGCTCAAGACACTTTAGTGGTACTCAAGATGAACAGACGACGTCATAGCGTGCAATACAATTGTTAATTCACTAAACTAAATTTATGCGTTTGCACGTGTTTAGAATAGTGGCAGTTGTGAGTAGTGGGGGTACGCTACTCGACTGAAAAAATAGAATCAAATGATCTACTCTACTAAGGTCCATTACTACCATCTTTTAGTTAAATTTATCTTACAGATAAACCCATCTACTAGCTAATCAGAGCGCGTGAAATAGCCGTAACCATAGTAATAATCCCTTAGATAGCTTAACCAGAAGATGGTAGTAACGAGCCTAAGGTCCGGTTGTACCACCTCCCGATAAGTTTATCCGATAGATAAATTGGCGCACTTAGGTCCATTACTACCATCTTTTAGTTAAATTTATCTTATAGATAAACCCATCTACTAGCCAATCAGAGCGCGTAAAATAGCCGTAACCGTGGTAATAATCCCTTAGATGGCTCATGTATTGCTCGAA